GGGTAACCACAGATCTCACCCTGTTTCCTGTTTCCCACTGTCCTTCAGTTCTTGGTGTTCCATGTCTTGACACCATTTTCCATATATTCTATCCATTTTTTAAAAAAGTTTCAGGCAGGAGGATAAATCTGATCCTTGTTCCTCCATCTGAGAAATGAAAGCTGCTCTCATTGATTTTTGTCTAACTCTTGTATCTGCAACCAACCTGTGGTTGCAGCTGACAAAGGAGTCTCATTCTATGACGCATGCTGGCTGATGTTTTTGTTCACATGAATGAGTAAGACAAATGTGATACAAAGCTACATGTTTAAATGCCACTTGTTTATCAGTGATGTAAGCAGCTTCTTTCTGAAGCAAATAATAGTTTTCAAATATTGGAAAAATGGCTTTTTCAGTTTTGTGCTGTTCACAGTGCAGCAATTACTGACAGGCATGCTTTTAAGTCTAGTCTGTCTTATTAATACTTTCTCCATCACTTTGTCAAGTCTAGCCAATCAACAGAACAGCAAGCCAAGCCCTGTTCTGCAGATTTTGTTTATTTCCATGGTGTAAATATCACCACCATGTCCAACTTCAAGATGCCAACATGACGTCACCAAATGTGGTGTGGGAAGAGGGAACAGGGGCCGCCACGAGAGGGGTATTTCCACCATGTGGCTTAACAGACATCAATCACCCCAACAGCACAGGCGACAGTGAAATAATTGAGAAGTGACGAGTGCTCATTCCCTTTACCGTTGTATATTTAATTGTAAGTTTATATAATTTAATTTTTAATAATGGCTTGCCAAGCTCTCAGAGACCCACCGAACTGCTCTTGTGAGCTGGCACAGGTCTGGTTTGCCCATCACTGTGTGGAGCCTATGATTGGGCCACAGGTAGGAGTCACAGCACAGGCAGGCAGACGCACGCTCATCCTTGGAGAAGGCTGTTCTTGTTCCTGCATCTTTCAGGGGAAGCTCTCATTTGCCAAGCGAAGACAGACCAGGGTAACTGGACAGAGGACACAGTCCAGGGCAGGGCAGGCAGAGCTCTTGGTCCCAACTTAACTCCCCAGGTCTGGAGCGGGTGTCAGGAGAGCTTCATGACTCCAGCAGGCACCCTGGGCTCCAATCTCAGTCTCAACTTCATTAGTGTGGCCCAAGACACACCGTTTAACTATTTGTGTCTCCGATTCTCCAACAGAACCTACCTCACAGCATTGTGGTATGGAGTTCTTGTGTGAATGCATATTAAGTACTGAGAAAAGTGCATGGTATGGTGGCACCAGGAAAAAAGTAGCCAGTGTTATTATCACTTTTAAACAGCTGCATCTCATATATACAGTGGAATACTATTCAGCCATCAAAAAGAATGAAATAATGCCATTTGCAGCAACATGGATGCACCTAGAGGTTATCACACCAAGTGAAGTAAGTCAGACAGAGAAAGATAAACATCATATGATATCACTTATACGTGGAATCGTAGAAAGTGACACAGACGAATTTATTTACAAAAATAGAAAGAGACTCATAGAAAACAAACTTATGGTTACCAGGGGGAAAGGGAGGAGGGATAAACTGGGAGTTTGGGATTGGCTGATACAAACTGCTATGTACAGAATAGATAAAACAACAAGGTCCTACTGTACAGCACAAAGAACTATATTTGATGGCTTGTAGTAACCTATAATAAAAAGGAATATGAAAAAGAATATGTATATATATACATATATATATAACTGAATCACTATGCTGTAGACCAGAAACTAACACAACATTGTAAATTAAAAAAAAACCCTCAAAAATAAATGAATTAAAAAAATAAACAACCACCTTCCAGAGAAAGCCCTTTTTGTCGGTGTTCCCGGTGCATCCTGACTCCTTTGGTGCTGACTTTGACTTCTAAGAAAGTCTACACAGGACACAAGCCACCTGCCTTTCCCGAGGAACACCCAGGAAATGAATCCATTTTTCCATCTCAACAGCACTGCGGAGGGCAGAGCAGGTCATTCAGGCGTGTCTCCTCCCAAGGCTGTGGTCACACAGCAGCACGTTGGCAGCTTGAAATCAACCATCGTGGATGTGTTCGTACCATGGAAATGGCAGATACTACAAGCCAGGGCTTCTTGTTCCAGAGAGCTGGTTGTGAAACCCTGATCAGCACACCACTGCTCCTTCTTGCAGCCTTCCTGACCTAAGCAGTTTCATGTGTGTAATAAAGGGATGCCTTAAACTTCACTTTGAGAAAATCAATCTCTCCCTAGCAAGGGGGAAATCGTGTAGCCTGTCCAATCCTATTACCAAAACACAGTCCAAACAAAGGAACAAGCAAAATTAGCCTGATGCAGACATTTCTCAGGGTGGCTTTGGAAACAAGTACACAGTTTCAAGGTAACCTCATACCTAATGCATTGCCGTGAATATTGGCCTCTTGGGAACTTAGCAATTTGCAGGACGCAGCTTGGAGTGATGCAGAGCCCTACTTCCAGGGGGCTCATGATAAAAGCAGGTCATGAAGGTTCGACAACAGTTCTCTGGGCCCTTCCACAGACAGGTGGCTCCTGCCAGGCTCCCCATTTGAAGGAACAGGGAGCCATGCAATATCTCCAAGTTCACCTGAGGGACAACCCCATGGCAGAAATAGAAGCCGCCGTTGAGTAAGTGAGTCTGTCTCATAAGGTGGCGTGGATTCTAGAGGGCAGATCTAAGACCAGTGGATGAGCACATCAGGTTGCGCTATTGGCCCCAACTCTGCCCCCTCTCTATAGTCATGTCCTTTGCTCTAAGCCTTCACCATCTCTCCCACTAAAGGAGACTCTTTCCCTGGCCCCTTGACTTTGGGCTTGTCCATGCGACTTGCTTCAGCCAAGAGGACAAGGTGGACGTGAGCCTGTGCCTTAGGAGGCTTCAGCTTTGACCCTGAGAAGACCCCGGTGGCTGGCCCACTGGCCTAAGGGGTAGAGAAAGAAGTAGAACACAGACACGAACCATTGTAGCTTGAGGCTGAGCCAGGCAGCCCACCGGCAAGAAACAGAGCTGCCCGGCCAAGTCCAGGCTCGATCAGCCAAATCCCGGTCAACCCCAGGCTTGAAAGTGAGCCCAGCTGGGATCCTCAGAGCCGCCCCAGCGCACGTGCAAGCCACGTGTTACGTGCTCCCGAGTCTCTGTGCTTGTTTTCATGCAGAGCGAGCATAGCAGTAGCGAAGTAAAGTAAGGACACAAACAGCAAGAATGAAATTGTTTTCCCTTATAACTTACCGACAGGTTCTTAGAAGTTGAAAGGCGGAGTGGGGGAGGGGAGAGCTCAGGGGTAGAGCGATGCTTAGCTGCTTGGCATGCGTGAGGTCCCGGGTTCAACCCCCAGTACCTCCACTAAAATAAATAAATAATTGGAACCATATCACAACAAAGGTGTTTTTAAAAAAACAACAGAAATAAAAATAAATAAAAACCCAATTACCTCCCCTCCCAAAATAAAAATTTAAAAATAGAAAGATCCTCAAAAAAGAAAAGTAGTTGAAAAAAAGTTTAAACCATGCAAGCTTTGAAGGTTTAGGCTGACGTATTTGTTTTGCAATCTCCAAAGCCTACTCCCCTGCCGGGTACACAGCTGGTGCTCAATAAGTGTTTCCCTATGCTTGTGTGTCAGGAAGGTGGTCTGCATAAAAGCGATCTTTGTAAACTGCCTGATTAGGCAGAGAGCTTCCTGTCACTATAGAAGAGCAATATTGGTGGTATTTCATTTTCAGAATCCAGCAAGAGGCATTTTTCATTAAGTGGGTAAATTAATCAGGACTCGTTCACATGGAAGTGATCAAAAAAGGTGCCTGAAGTGGACTTATTGCCAGCTCACAAAGTTACAAAGCAGAGTGGTGGAGTGGGTGTGGACACATGGTCAGGACTCAGACTGCCCGCCCGGCTCTGGGTTGTTCTGTGTTGTGACCAGAGGCTCGTGGGAACCCAACCCTGTATTTCCTCCAGGAGCGCTGGTTCGGTGTTGGCTAGTTCAGTGTTCATAGCAACTTTGTGGAACACAACTATCACATAGAACAAGAACTGACCGTGTATGTGTGTGTGTGTGTGTGTGTGCGTGTGTGTATGCATGTGCATGCCCGCGCTCACTCAATTTTGGTTTTTGATTTCTTGATTTCTTGCCAATGGCAATTTGGAAGCTACAAATTAGAAGCCACCAACAAGAGCAAAAAGCGACCAAAACCCTACTGCAGCACAATAAGGGAAGCCACACAAAGCCTCACACACCAACGCAAAGGCCCAGAGCCTACAGAGTCAGAGGGAACACACAATGTTGACCTCGTGCCCTGTGCAGGGCCCTCACCTGGGACCCCCCAGGCTGTGGGAGGGGAACACGGCAAACACCTGACCTGGAGGAGCTTCTGTCCAGCAGGAGAGAGAAAGCTCCTGCACAGACACGGACAGCGCGGTGGGGAGAGGTCAGCGCCACGAGGATGCCACCATCCTCCGAACAAGGGCTTCCAGGGCACAGAGAGAGGAGGAGGGGACACTTCGCTATTTCACTGTGTGACCCTGGGCAAATCGCTCTGAATCTCTGGACTGATCATTCTTTCATTCAGTAGGTATTTTTTGAGCAGCTTCTGTGTATCCCCCATGCTATGTGCTTGGAATGTGGTTTTAAAAATCTCAATTTGTGCCCACTCCGTCTGCCACAGCTGCCGAGCTGAGGGTGGGTATCCAAGCCTCAGAGTTACTGATTTATTCTTGAGAATCCTCTGCTCTCATCTGTCCTCATGGATGAACTTCAGGATATTCAACTCACAGAGATCAAACCACTTCTGAATGATAAAAATGGAACACGAAACTTCCAGGACTTTGATTGCCAGGGGGAGAGGCAGCCCAGGATGGAGAAGTGTGTTGGGGGCCGATAGGATGTCAGGTTGCTTCGTAAGCCTGGAGAATAAGGGATCACATTCAGAGGAACATGATATAGGAACAACTCACTGTATGGTCCACGTCGCTGCAAGATGCCTACCGAAGGGAAACAGACCGGTCATTCTGACATACCATGACACTGGCCTCAATCATAAACCCTGTTTCAGTGCATTCTTTAACTTTGAGGATATGCAGGAGATCACCCAGCATTTTGCTGTCTGTCATGTGGATGCTCCAGGCCAGCAGGAAAGTGCACCCCCTTTCCCAACTGGGTATCAGTACCCCACAATGGATGAGCTGGCTGAGATGCTGCCTTCTGTTCTCACCCACTTATATCTGAAAAGCATCATTGGGGTTGGAGTTGGAGCTGGAGCTTCCATCCTCAGCAGATTTGCACTCAATCACCCGGAGCTTGTGGAAGGTCTTGTGTTCATTAACGTTGACCCTTGCGCCAAAGGCTAGATAGACTGGGCAGCTTCCAAACTCTCAGGCTTGATGACCAATGTTGTGGACATTATTTTGGCTCATCACTTTGGGCAGGAAGAATTGCAGGCCAACCTGGATCTGATTCAAACCTACAGACTGCGTGTTGCCCAAGGTATCAACCAAGAAAATCTACAGCTCTTCCTGGGTTCCTATAACGGACCCACAGACCTGGAGATTGAAAGACCCATTTTGGGACAAAGTGAAAACAAATCAAAGACACTGAGGTGTTCCACTGTACTGGTGGTGGGTGACAGCTCACCTGCGGTCGAGGCTGTGGTTGAATGCAATTCTCGCCTGAATCCTGTACATACAACTTTGCTGAAGACGGCAGACTGTGGGGGCCTGACCCAGGAGTTCAGCCTGGAGAACTCACCGAGGCCTTCAGGTACTTTCTTGCAGGGAATGGGCTGCATCCCGTCTGCCGGCATGACCTGGCTCGCCCGCTCATGGACCCTCTCCACCTCGGGCAGCATGGGCTCTGGAGAAAGTGCCTTCAGCCGGTCGGACACCAGCAGTCAGTCAGACGGGACTCAGGAGTCCTCTGAGTCCCCTGATGTTCCAGACAGACACCAGACCATGGAGGTGTCCTGCTGAGCAGATGCTCCTGCCCTGGACCATGCAAGTCCATCCTCCTTCCAACAACATGCCATAATTATATAACACTTCATCCAGCAAGCTGACATCATCTTTAACTCCTGCCTGGCCACCAACACTCTC